GTGCTTGTTTATAATTTAAGCACGAATTTTTCAGACGATAAAAAGCGAAAAGGTAAATGAAACTAAGAAACAAAATATAAAATGAAAAAATACTCAAACGAATGAAAAGGATAACGAAAGGTATAGTTGTGCATATAATTTAAATAATTAAACGAATGTGCAATTCGTTTACAAAACAAAACAAATCATAGTGAAAATTACGCTTCAAGTTTTGTTTCGAAAAATAAAGTGGACAAGTATTTCATATGAATCCCGGCAGTTATAAAGCAACTACACAATCAGCAAAAATGGATCGACTTGAGCGAGTACTGATTTATTTTTCGAACGAAACTCACGTTATTGGCAGGTATGTGACATAATGTAATTTCTGTGATTTTCTTTGTAAATAGTTAAGTATATTAATATTTTAAAATAGTTTTCATGGCTATTTTGAGATATTATTGATGAATGTTTATGAATCTAAAAAATGGTTCGGGCTCTGACGAACCTATTACCTCATACTATTGCAAACAAATTAAATACGAGGCGGGAACGAGAAACATTTTTCAGAACTGCATCAGCATCCAGAATTTGCGCGTGGCTGCATCAGTTCTCAGCAGGTAGTGTTGGTCCCGTTAGACGAGCTTGCAGCGTGTAAATTACTTGAACTAAAACGTGACTGTCCGCGACTTGAAGAGAAAAATCTCACGAAACAATGGGACGCCCGAAACAAAACAGGAGTAACGGGGACGAGGTGGACGACCGAAGTGCAACCACGTCTTCTAAAAATCTTAAAATTAGATTGAAATAATCGTAAAAATTCACTCACAGATCACGATCCGAGAATCACGGAGGTTGAGTAAATCCAAGGTTTTGCAATGAATTGGTAGAATCCACCTACAATATTGTCTGGGACCTCGAATTAAGGCTAGAAAAGTCTATATGGATTATCTAGCGACTAGTCTCATAACGCTCTTTTTATTTCTCTTGAAAAAATGCCCGGAACGATTAAAAAAAATGACCGAAACGATATTTAAAAATGCCCGAAGCGATTTTTAAAAATCGCGAAGCAATTTTATTCGGCTTGCGCTTATGATCCGATCTCACCCTGTAAAACTGTTCCACTAAAAGTTATGAAAATTAAGCCAGATTAGAGCAGAGATATTCACGCGTATCGAAGCATAACTACAGCACCAAAAAGGGCTCAGGCCAAGTCTTTTCCTTCTCAAATAGCTCCAATTGCCCATTTGCCATCACAAATTGTCCGATTTATCTGCATTTTTGAAAATTGTTGAAGGACAAAATATCTTCAGGTCTGTACATAAAGCCAAGTCCGGAACAGAGATGGAGTTCAAGTCCCTTATTGCAAACCACAACAGCTCCGTGAGCTGATCAAGAAGAATCAAAACCTAGCCTATATATTTAAGCCATAATTTTTGCTCTTGACTATAGCTTTCGATGAGGAAAAAATATAATGACAAAATTTCCAATCAAATAGACATCAAGCGGACACACACTTCACTTGCTGTATATAATTAAAAAAAGTAAATTCAACGTTGAACAGATTTCACGACCAATTATGTATGTATGCAAAAAATATGGCGGGAAGTCATGTTACCAGCCTTCAGGACATGAATTAGGGCATTTATCAAAAATTTCGAAAAATTAAATAATTAAAAATGCATTAGGCTATCTCGTCATTGTTGACGGCTTTAATTTCTTATACTTTTGAAAACTTCGTAAAATAGATAATGTTCTATCTTCTTCGGAGCATCTTAGCGATTATGCCTTATAATTACAAGTACTAAGGACATTCGTTAGACGGATATTTTTACCATTAATTTTAGATTTTTTGCAACGCATTTAAGTGGGTTTCAGGTTCAGTATTTAATCCTGAGTTTGAAGGCTTCAAAGAATTTGTTTTTTTATTGTTGGGCACTAAGGCGGGCGCGTATATGGCGACGCAAGGCCGAGCGTTCAGCCTTTGTCGGCCTTGGCGCAACCGCATGTAGTCCGCGGCCGGCCACGCCCCCGCGCAACAACGCCTTTATTCTGACGCTTTCTAGAGCCTTTATCCACGACTTATCACGCTTGATAATCATCATGAGAAATTTAACTTTATTGCATTCATAATATAGTGATATTGTCAATTCTAAAAATTAAATTCACATCTGTTTACAACTTTAACGAATAAAAATTAAGAATGTGCAACGAAAAATAAAAGCGCAATAAAAACTCGCGACTCGAAACATTCCTTATATTTTTCAGTATTGCAAACGACAATATTTTATAACTCTAATGGTTCAAACCATCATTCAGGAATCGTATCAATAATGCTGCCAAGAAAATGGCAGGTACTCGCTTATCTCAGCTTAAAAGAAGCTCTTTTATCTCATTCTGCAATGAGCAAAAACTGGAACCGATAAGCCACACCGGATGCGCATGTCGGCTGAGAGAATTGCTTTAATTCTCGATCACATTAATTAGGCTAAGATGCGCCCTAAGAGTAGCAAGTTCGGCTAGAAGATAGGCCTGAGAGCTGCATGTTCGGCTAGAAGATAAGTCTTATTTTAATTAATCAGCTCGAAAACAATGCAGGAGGAGATAATTATTGATGCATCGAGTCCCCTTGAACATCTCCAGTGTTTGCATGACTTGGCATCTTTTATAATGAGTGAAGGCCGACGGCACGAATATTAAGAACAGGTTTCTAAAGTAGTCAAACTTAAGCTCATAAGTGCCTGATCATAAACATGCTGAGTAACCAACAAATTTAACAATTTTCCCACACGCATGGTAATTCATAATAAATAATACTTTTGAACGAAAAAAATATTCGAAACGATTTCCTCTATTTGAGTTTATTCAAATGATTTCAACAGCATTGTTCAAAAATTTTAGTGGAATAGTTATCTGAAAAATGTCTGTGAATAGGAATGTGGGATGTAAATGTAAAACAAAACCATGAAATAACCTTCATTTTTTAAAAGGCCTTTAATCGAGTGATAATTCACTATTTTTTAAAGACGATGTATGATTTATTGTGATAGGCAGCTGAGAATTATTACCTACACTTGGGTAGGAGCCGAAATGTAGGAGGAGACATTCACGATGCTGAAAAGCTAAGTGAATTAGCAATATATCATGACAGATTCAAAATTCGGAGAGCACTTTTATTACCGCAAAGAGCATTAGCTTAAATAAATAGCTTGAACTAAATAAAAAATTTCAGAGGCCAAAGCTCTAATCAGTATTAGCACTCATGTAATCAGTCTGCTTCATCAAGAATTTTTATATTAAAGGTGTATATAGATAATAAAGATCTGGTACTAAAAATAAATTGAATGTTATTGAAAATATGAATTTCTTTGCTTTTAAATTCTCATTGTCAAACCAGTATATGAGATGATAGCACAGTTAAAGCTTGGCAGATTTTATGTTTGCTGGCCACCGTTTCCTTGCTACCATAGTTGCATTTGCAGAGGTAAATAACTTCTAAATGTTATTAAATACGGTGCAACTGGGACACAAAATGTAGAACTGGGACACAAAATGTAGACATTGCGCAGTAAGGGAAACAAAGAGCACATTTACAACCCGGAGGGCAGATAATTAGTCACAATTTGCAACATGCGCACAAGGAGACAAACGGAGAAGAATGTTTAATGCACTCCAACCTCACGGACTAGTCGTTAATCGTCACGCTCTGTTAAAAAGGCTTTAATTACTGAACAGGGAGTTCGTCAGGACAGGATGCAGCTGCAGGATTTTCGAGTCTAATTCACATTTGCCTAATTAAAGATTACGCAAAACTGCTGCTTATGCCGGGCACTCATGCGAAACTCCAATAGTGGAAATTCGTATAAGGAACCACGTAGAATATCAGTAGCTCGATCTAAATCACCATTCGTGAGGCGATAAGCATTTAGATATTCCAAGATGCTGTATTTATTGTAGCACAGTATTTTTAATAATTAATATTAAAACGATGTCTTGAAACAGTTAGAAGATTCTAAAATCTTCTTTCGGTCAGAGCTCGTGAACGGCGGAACGCAAAACCTTGAAAAAATTAGAGACCCAGACTCGAAATTAATAATTCATGAATTGAAAAAACACGTTACACCCAAAGTATTTTCCAAATGGTTTCCAAAGCAACCATTTTAATATAAATGGATTTTAAAATATTTTCCAAAAGTCTGAAAAATACATATATACAAAAACTCTTCTGAGAAAGTAGGTAAATTAAAGCATCATTATTCTTTACAAAATTTTACCCACATGCCTTGAAATCCAGTACCTATAAATTGCTAACGTTTCAGCGGATGGATTAACACATTCCAAAAGCTCACGAACACCAAAATAATAACAAAAAGATCAACTTGAAAAACTTCACCGCCAACAGCCGCAAGGCCGCAGTCTTGCCGCGGGCGCTTCAAAAGATGAAGTATTGCTGGAAAAAAAATCTCATCGAAATAGCGTATATCTCATCAGCGGTAGCGTCATCGGCACGGAACGAGGCGGCAGGTACAAGCATGATGACAGTGTCCATAATTGCTGGATAGGAAGACATCAATACAGTTTTTATTGATGTAAGTATCGGATTTATATTTCTTCGTTGGGAGTAATGACAATGAAAAATAATAAAATAATCACGAGCAAGTTAAAGAAATAAAAAAAATGGTAAAATGTGCATGCGGATAACAAAATTTTGAGTTTGGATTGTTTCGATGTGTAAATGGTGAATGAAAAAACGGTAATTAAGAAGCAAAAGGCATGCACATTATATTTTCGCGGGTACTATATAAGCCAACGTATAGGAAAATTGGGAACATAAGAAATGGAAACAATATGTTCGTGGCTGCAGAATATATATGTCCTCACTCAGAAAGGAGCCCACCAGAATAAGTCCTCACACCTTGTGGACACAATATATGTGCTGAAAATAAGAAGTCACTGACGTAGCGTGAAAGGGCAGCATTTTTTAGGAACAACATTAATGTGGACAATAAATTTGTACTCACGAAGTGTTGGAGAGTAGTCTTTGGTGCACAGAGGTAAGGTCTTTTTAGCCTTCAGCTGCGAAGCCATGAGGAGAACCAAGCCCTTCGTTATAACACCACACCCCAATACGATGGCGAATGTCAGGAGATAAGTGAAGACCTGCACAAAAAGATACATAAAGTGTTGAGAGAAAGATACGAAAGATAAGATACACCTGCAGCAGCATGTACGTGAGTACAAGGAGGCACGAACGTACATACCCAGTGAGTACTTAACCGCCCAAGAGGCATCTGACGTCGAAATAACGTTGATATAACGATGTTTCGACGAATTCAACTCGCAATCGACTTATTTTCAACGTCATTTGCCTAGAGTTATAGTCGAGAATTACGTGAGTAATTCTCGATGGACAGGATGGACCCCGGTCAAACGAAACTTTCCATCACAAAATTCATAATTTTGTGATGGATTTTCATCACAATTCACGTTCCATCAAACTTTCCATCACAATTTATCTCTTAATTCAGGTATACTTTTACTGATATTCATAGATGGCCATATACTACAGATGGTCTCATACGGCCGCCCTCCACATGTACAGTCTCTCAGAAGTAGATGGTCTAGGTTATACGACAGGAGTTATCTCGCACAATCTTTGCTTCATGTGCTGTTGGAAATAAAAATTATCAGCTACAAAGATCGTACAATTTTGGGACAGAAACCAGTAAACCCATTCTAGCACGGATTGTTTTCTGGAAATGGAAAGTAAACAAATTTTGTAAGCATGGGCGAGAAATGCACAGAACGGTGCGCCATGTCACCACACTGCAAAATTTCAGTAATACGCCTGACATGATTTTTATAATAATCCCTAAAACCATCAAATAAGAATTCGAAGCTCTTCAATTTTTTCACAGCAGAAAATAAAGTCAATTGATACATTTTCGAGGGTTTAATTTACATTTTCAAATAATTTCAGATTTCAAATGTCCGCATTGTTTTTCATGTTTTAATTTCAGGCAATTATTGTCATATCAAGTAGTAACACTAATTACTAATTGAAGACGGTCAGCCTGCTGAAATCCTTCTATTATTTATAACATATAATAGGATGAAGTAACGTTTGTCCCAGCAAAAGCGAGTATCAGTACTACAGTGTCAGTTTGAACAACATGACACATGAATTGTTCTGAGAGCAGTTCGGGCAAGAGGGGGTTGTCCTTGAGCGCGTCGATAATGAAGTTAGGCCAAAGTTGTTCAGGGAACGAGATTTAGATCTACAAGTACAGGCAAAGTTTATGGACATGGTCTCCTCTACCAGATCGCTTTTTAATTGCTTATTTGGGAAAGACAACCTTTATAATGTTAATAATTGAGCTCAGAGTTCGAAATGATGCTGTTAAAGGTAAATAAAATGAAGGCCCTTCGTATATATATGTGTGAACATGAATGTTCAAGATGTCATATATAAAGGAAATTCCAAGATGTTTGTGATGAGCAATCCCGTTTTAATTTTGCATTATTGTCAATAATTTTAAATTCAATGCAAAACCTGGTGAATTACGAAAAAAAAGTTCATTGAAACATTATATAACCACTTTCTATCCGTTCACATAATTCTTGAAATTCCTCACGAAACATTCAAACAATTCACGCAAAAGAACAATTTTCTCAAATTTTGATTTGATACTCAAATTTTGATTTGATACTCAAATTTTGATTTGATACTCAAATTTTAATTTGATACTCAAATTTTAATTTGATACTCAAATTTTAGATTTGATACTCAAATTTTGAATAGATACTCAAATTAAAATAAACATTTTTCCTTACCAAAATCCCCTATCGGCCGACTCGGAGTTAGCTCTATATAATCACCAATTGCTCGATATAATAACCTGAGTGCCGTGACAGCGAAAAAAAAACTAAATTTATAACATATTAAAGAATGAACGGTGAGAGCTTTAATTATTAAATTTATTTAAATAGTTTTTATTCCTGTCTTTTCCGATCCTTCATTTTTATACATGGACTTTAGTTTACCTCAAAAAAAATCAGGCAAATTTAACTTGGATGGACGAGTATTATTTAATTTGCACCAACGAGCAGCCATTAATTATTGACATCACCGTGATTTCATTTGTAATTAGTTCACTATTTGAGTTAAGTGAAAAGGATTAACAAAAATTGGAATGATTCTTTTATCTTTCAGAAGATTTCGCCTATTAACCTGGCCGGTCTAAAATCGGTTCTATTAAAAATCGTCGAGCTAGAATACGAAATCTTCCACCAATTTCTGCTCGTTAGAAACCATGTCACATTAGACAGCTGCAATTCGTCCTACAAATGGCGCATCCGAAGAACACATTCGAATAAATAAAGACTTCTCGTGTTTACAAGCGAGTTAATTGAGCCTGTTAAGTACATCACTCGGACCTTGATACTAATTATTAGGAGTCCAAGCAGCAATTAGTTCAAGCAATTAATAATGGAGGCAATCATTTGTGAATTTTGTATTGAAAAACATAAGGCAAAATGTAAGTTAACTGGCTAGAAGCTGAGAAAATATTCGTAGCTTGCAATGTCAATCGAACAGAACGTATAGAACGTAATTATTTATTACTAACAAACTGATAAGTTGCCAGAAATTTTAAGATTCAGGTCAGGTCTCAAGATCTATTACAAGTATACTTGGGATTTCCAAAACTCCTGACTCATACCGAAGCAAGTAAACTTGTTCTATTCAAGGTTGCTTTGATATTTTTATGAAAATTTTGTATCTTACTTACTTCGAGTCAGTATTCCTACAGGACACTTAAATTTGGCAGTGAAACAAAACTGTTATCTACAATTAAATTCAAAATCATTCATATACCCCAATGTAATTTTTTTCAGTACAGGGAACGTCAAAAATATTTCGGCAAATAAAGGCAATAATTTCTACAGCCCATAACCTTCAGTGCGCAATTTAATTCCCGCTTATTCATGACTATGCCATATTAAGACCATATATTCACTCATGACTGCCATATCAAGACCACATATTCACTCATGAATGTGCCATAATAAGACCATAGATTCACTCATAAATTTGTCATAATAAGATCATAGATTCACTCACGAATGTGCCATAATAAGACTATAAATTCACTCATGAAAGTGCCATTGTAATACTATATATTCACTCATGAATACGCCATGACAAGACCATATAACTCACCCACAATGTGTCACATTATTACCACATATTTATTCATGGCTGCCTTATAACAAAACCATATTAGTGACCAACCATAAGACTTATGGTATTGTTACACCCTTACCTTCAGGAACTTCACGGTGACAGCCATATATTTGTCAGAGTTTTCAGAGAGGGAGGAGTTGGGGGGCGGGGGGTCTCTGAACACATCCCAGAGCACCACAGGCTCTCCTGTGCTCTGACGGCTGTCGGGGTGAAGGCTTTTTAAGTTTAAATTTCCAGTTTAGAATTAGTATATAAAATTCAGTTTAAATTTTAAGAATGTCGATCATATGTTCAAATAAATTAATAATAAAACTAAAGAATTACTTTTGAGATTTAAGATTTAAAACACGTGGGAAAGAGGTCAGTTATTGGTCAGTTGAAATATTATGTTAAAAAATAATTGTTTACTAATAAATAATTATTTAACAATGATAAATTAATGAAAAAAATGAAGAAATGTCGATTTATTACTCTTGAGAAAAAAATAAAAATATTAAATTTCAGTTAGAGATACTTGAATAAAAAGCTATGATATTCCAAGATAATACAGAACCATTTATTAAATCCTTGTTACTTACTAAAATACACTCGCATTGCTCGCTTTACGAACTCCGATATACATGATCAACAGGAATACAGCTCATCTCCGGCACCGTTTGTTCTTTTATCACATGTTTCACACATGTGTGTTGTGTGGGCAGTAATTGCATGAAAGTGCAATACTTTAGCCTCATTTATTACTTTACTTGAAAACACAAGTGACACGAAATTAGATGGTTTAATACTCTACATGAGAGGCAATAACTGGGAAAATTTTCACTGCAATAGCGGCATATTTTATTTTTCTAGTTGTAAGTAATTTTAATTGGGTTGCTGTATCCATAAATAGGTATTAATCGTCATTTGTTGCAATACAACAGCTACGTCTATCGTATTTATTTAAAGAAAATATTTAATTAACGAGATATATCAAGAGTTTAACTGCTAATATACTTCTCAAAAAATGTACAAAACATATGTCACATATTATGCATTCATGGAAGAAGTTGAAAATATTATATTTCATGACGTAATTACACATTTAAAAAACAGTGTTTGCAACTCGGCCGCCATTTAATTTTTCATCAGGTATGCTATTAACTTAGTAACTCTGGGCGTTTCCTCTTTTGCGGCGTACACTGAAAGATTAAAATAAAACATACGAAGATCGTTAATCTGGTCAAATTTCAATAATTTTCCCGGCCAAAACTTTTCCACCAAAAGAAAAAAGATCGACTTGGTTTATCCTCACAATAAAAAATCCCTTAGATACACGAAATACATGAATGAAAAATAAGCCAGTACGTTATGCTTGAAACACTTTCCCCAACAATTTTTCATAAGCAAGTAGGCCTTGAACCACTTTTCGCGTTAACTCCTTTTATTAATTTCCAAAACACTAGTTTTTTCGAGCACTTGCTAGGATGAGCTCCGTACTTGAGATAGACAAAGGCGAAACTGAAACTAATTTCGCTGCATGGCCGAGTCATCGGAATAAGTTTTTGTTTCTTGTGCACCAGATGCAGGTTAGTGGCGATAACGCCCTAGATGGTAAAAGGAAGACTCGGCTCTCCAGGTTGGTCATGGCAGACGCAGACTTGACGTGGGCGTCGTCGTGGAACTACCAGTGATGGAACCAGTGGTAGTTGATGGAACCAGTCATGGCATGATGGTCGTGGAACTACCAGTGGCACCAAGTGCCCGGAAAAACTGACCTATCACCCCCTCCCTTACCTAGTTGCCACTACCAGGATGGGCAATTACAATAACGTGGGCGACTGCGGGCGTGGGGCGGGACCGTCAGACTACAGCAATGTGTCCCCGGACCAGCAATAAATACACGCTATGGAAATACGACTCGTCTGGATGCATATAACATTGTTCCTGTGTAGTGTATATACAATATACGCTTGCTTTAGACGGTACGACACACCTACGTAAGTCTGAGTGAACGTACAGTTAAATCATGCCCTATAGTGACACAATTAATACGCCACCGCGAGATACGTGTATATGACTAATAGCTTGGCACACCTAGCCAATTATAATCGAACATAACCGCAAGACACAATTAAACGCTAGAAAACTTATACGGTATCTGATATGTCAACGAAGGCCTCCACACGAAAGACAATTTATTAAGATGCGTTAATTAGTTGACTAAACATCAATTTACGTGACTCAATTCCCATCTCTCACAAGAAATTTAGGAGAAAAACTCTTATCGCTGTACGAACGCTATCTATCTTACACCTCGATTTAGAATATCTGTTTTAAAATTACGGAATACAAATCTGAAAACTCATGTCTGACCATGAATGCAAGTACATCAAGTGTACATGATGGATAAGTATGTACGGTGCATTGCATTTCCCTGTATATGTGGGATTCTTATACAAACGTGATTCACTATAGTACTTTAGTCACTAAACCAGAGGAGCATTAGTGTGAAATAAAAACCAAAACATGAAGCATAATCTCAACATCAAGAAGAAGAATAACGCAACTAGCCCCGTAGCAATAAAAATAATAATACTCAGAGTTTTTAATGCAACAAATAATCCGAACTGACTTGGCTCTACAACAGTGCTAGTATCAATTAATATAACAGTAATACAATTACTCAGTACAGACCTAGCTCTACAACAGTGCCAGTATCAATTAATACAGCAGTGCTAGTATCAATTAATACAACAGTAATGCAATTAATCAGTACAGATCTAGCTCTACAACAGTGCCAGTATCAATTAATACCACAGTGCTAGTATCAATTAATACAAGAGTAATACAATTACTCAGTACAGACCTGGCTCCATATATGGGTTGGTTGCCGCCGTTCTCTTCATCAGAGAACTCGCCCTCGCTGCCCGGCGGCCGCGCCGCCCCTCCTGGCGCCATCTGTACACAAAATAAACATCAAATGAAATGCAGTAAAAAAAGTTTACATCAACCATTATTATTTCGACCAAGAGTTATATTTTGAGGCATTTTTAGATAAGTACCTATTGTTCATAAAATATGTATTATCCAACTTAGCGTTGTACTACGCAAGAAGAGTACATTGTTCAAAAATTTAAGAATGCTCTCTTGTAATTGTTAATCCATTCAATGTTCATGAGTAGGTAGCAGTCTTTAATATTGAATAATGGATTTTTATATAATGCCAGCTGGCAAATAAACTCAGGGAATATAGTGATGTAATAGTGCAAATAAATATATTGGATAAAAAGTTTCAGTATCCACATGGATTATATATTTATTAGTAGTTTGATGGTTTGAAAATAATACAATATGATGGTATGAATCACTTACATTCAGTGTGAAACACTGAATGTAAGGAAATACACGAGCACGTAAAAAAAATCTTGTCAATAATCAAATGAATTCGTATTAAGAAAATACATTCAAGAGAAATGGTAGTGAAACCGTACTACGATCTTAATTTATAATTTTTACAAGCTTATCTATCAAAAATTCACAACTCGAAAAAAATAAGTCAATAGTTCAGACTGTAAAGGTTAGCGTGAATTTGCACACTTAACATCCGATTTAAAATGAAAGGAAACAAATGTGTCGTTAAGAAAATTACACCACAAATTGTCTTCAAATTGCCTATTGCTACTCAGCCGATCAGCAATTTAAGATTTAACAATCGGAAATGAGCGAGTCAACATTTGAAAGTCGTAAATCGAGGGACAAAAAGCGAGGTTGTTCTCGATCAATAGACATCGATCGCTAGGCGACTAAACTCAAGATAGAGCAATCTTCGCCAAGCAATTGTCAATCTTCGCCAAGCAATCGATAGACATCGATCGCTTGACGACTCGAGTCAAGATGGAGCAATCTTCGCCAAGCGATTGTCAATCTTCGCCAAGCGATCGATAGACATCGATCGCTTGGCGACTCAAGTCAAGATAGAGCAATCTTCGCCAAGCGATTGTCAATCTTTGCCAAACGATCGATAGACATCGATCACTTGGCGACTCAAGTCAAGAAAGAGCAATCTTCGCCAAGCGATTGTCCATCTTCGCCAAGCGATCGATAGACATCGATAGCTTGGCGACTCAAGTCAAGATAGAGCAATCTTCGCGTCCAAAACGCACGAGTGCCTCTCCAACCGCGCCTCGAGAATAAAACGCAAAAATTTCTTCACGGTCATTCGAAAATCCGTGGCTATAGCAAAGTTTGCGGTCACAGTAGTTGGGAAAGTAAGAGCATAGATCGATCACTGGATGGAGAGTGCGCTACAGAAAGCGATAAGCTTTAGAAATCTTGGATATCAAGGTTCATGTTTCTGCATATTTTGGCATGCTTCCGCCGCATTAAAACTTGCTGTATAATTATTTCTTTATGAACATCGTTATTATAACTCTGTGTTCCCACATGTCGTTCGATCAACAATGACATAACATGTGTAAAAATTTTACTATGCTGAAACTCTCGATCGAAAACCAAGTCACTGTACCTCGTCCAGTGCAAAATCAATCCTGGTATTTACATTCATTTTGTAGTGAATGATGAAATGAATAATTATTTGCTAACACTATCTGAAGTTACCTTATCTTCTCGAAGTAGCTCAAGAATTGAAAGAGATTCAATTCTAAACTGCATTCATGGCTACAGAATTAAGTCATGCGCCGAAGATCCAACACTGTTTTTTAATAGTTTGAAGACGTTTGTTGTTGTTAGTTATCGCTCGATGGTCGTGAAAGTGAAAGGCGAATATTGATGTTAAAAAGTCATGACTCAAGGGGATCAGGCAATAAAAAAACAGACGCTTCAGTGCTTTAGAAGAAATTGATTGATGACATGCAAAGCAAAAGTAAAATTGATATAGTGTATGAGCAACCATTTCAATGCGCCGGTTTGGTACCGTTTATAATGGTAATCATAGGTGATTAACTTAATTTTTTACTAGAAGACAAATCAAAGACACGCGAGAGGACATCATGAATTGCAGATTATTGCTATCAACAGTATACAGGAAATTAAAACAGTTTTTATGTTATTGCAACAGTGAAATTAGTCGTTATCCTGAAATTAAATTTCCTGTAGCATATAGTTTGTATGAGAAACATTGCATTCAGTTATCAACTAAAATTAATTAATAAGCGAAGAACATGCCAACAAAATTCACCATATCTTCATCGAAAAACTATGATGAATCCACTTAGCGCTTTCTTTGCTTCTAGATTCTTGGTAAACTTGTGATTTAAGCAGACTAATTGTATAAATAGTAATTCATTTATCAATGTCTGGAGTGTTAGTTCAAAATATAGTAAACATTCCAACGTACCTGGAGTAACGATTTCAAAACAATTTACGGAATGTGATTGACAGACACCGTAACGACTTGCAGCAGCGAAGAATTCAGACAGTCAATTTCCTCTCCAAATAATCAATTTTTTCTTTCCCACCTCATGGTGAGATTCATAAACAGTGACGCAGCGTTTCACATGGCCTTATGACCCAAGTGTATTACTGCCGTGAAAAATAATATGATTTAACGATTTTGGAGTGCATTGCGGCTTTGAATTTAGGATCAAATTAAGCCTCCATCCCAACCTTTCAATCGAGATGACAATAATAATCAATTTGACAATAATAATCGAGATGACAATAATGATCGAGATGCCAATAATAATCAATTTGACAATAATAATCGATTTGACAATAATATTCGAGATGACAATAATTACGCGAGGCAACTCAATCAGGAGGTAATTTTCTGGTTGATTGCTTGTGTATTCTAATAATTGGCGTTTATTTTGGATGAATTGGATGTTTTGCAAGGAGTCATACATAAAAAATGCAAAACGATTTTTTATTTAAACTCAATTTTAGGACAAAGTTAACACAAAACAATAAATGAAAGTTCAAAAAGGCGTTAAAAACATTGTCTGTAAGACTATTTTAATTTATGACGATTCATAAAAGGGCAAAATGCAGAAATCAAGATCTGAAAGTCAGGTAATATTTCCATTGTTTAAATACATGGAGGTTTTCAGATAAAATATTAACAGCACTTGTTTATATTTTTTTATAATTCCGTCCCGAACCTGCTAAATATTTTTACAAAAACAGATTAAATAATTACGAATTCTCTCCCAAAATGATGTTCTATGAAAGAGTTAAAAAAAAAACAGGAATTGTCACGAAAATAAGATGCAGAGCATCTGTTTTTTGTGCCTTTTGTTTCGAAAAGTCGTCGTGCAGCTACAGAGAAATTCTATAAAAACTCCTGATGAGCGCCTGAGCCTCTTACCATGACGAGCGCATTCGACACTGAAATTAAGCACAGCCAAAATACGGTGAAGGAGGGACAAAAAGTGCCGGCAGCGGCCCACGAATGAGGAGAATTGATGGCTGGATTGAAAGCTAAGTAATCAGGCAGTCCCTTGCCATGCAGGATACTTCTTTCCCATCAAAGTCTGATACGCAATAAAAAAATTTGAAACATTTTTATAAATTAAAACTGCATGCTTTTCAAGCCTTCGCGACATATTCATACAAATTAGGGAGCATTACCTGGACACTTCTTCCCCCCAAAAAAGTTTGATACGCAATACAAAAACAAGAATTTCATCCCAACATAAATTAACTGGATAAATTTTGAACATTTGCGACATACTCCGTAAGTAGTGTAGTATTACACACTGAAGTCATGTGTCAAGCTTCAACATGATCAGCAGTTCTTAAGCTATTTCCAGCGAAATAGAGGCACAGAAGAAGCCTAGCTCGGCGAGTTCAGGATGAGGTTGTTGCACCTGCAGGTCAAACCTGTGCAAATGCCGGAATCCTACACTTAGACTAATCCTAGTGAGCAAAAAAGTCTAAAGTTGATCCTTTTTCATCATTTCCTGAAATTGGGATGATCGAGAAGGTTTAACGAGTTAGCGGTGAAAGGTTAATTGCTTCCTACCGACTATTGTACCTGGGTTGAATACGTTAATTTTGAAAGAAGACACCATCGGAAAAGCGCAGAAATGCATCTGTAAGCAAAATAATGTACGTAACTGAAGCCAGTTTTCTTAACAGCTTGAAATCACATTTTTTTTGAGAGGACGCCAGTTATAACCTGTTGTAATACTAAGAACAATGAAGCTAGAGTAAGAAATTAAAATCGATTTAGTTCTATTCCCACAATCTAAACTGCTTCTTACGTATGGTTTATATTAGCAATACGATAATAGGATTTCTATTGCTAAATGATAAAAGAAAAGCTAGATAAGGTAGAATACTTGGTGGAAATAATGAAATTCGAACGTCATATCCCTTCAGCTATGAAAAATCCTGAATAATCCTTGTTTCTTAACATGTTTGCTGCGTATATTGATCACGATGCGTGCCGTACCGAAAGAAGTTCAAGTATCGATAAATTGTTCATAATAAATTCACTCCATAAAATATGCATTATGTGCACGTGAATCGATTTAACTACAATATTAAAAACTCCAATGAAAAATTACACTCGCAGGACTGTGAATAATGCGAATATAAATAACGTAATGAGTTCTGGAAGACGCCGCACCCAGGAAATAAATGGGTCATATTATCCAAATAGTGACACACTTTCTACGCGTATCATCGAAACGAAGTTTTACCTGGGTCAAGATGACCTACAGAGGGCAAAAAGTGGATCGCTATTGTGACAAATTGTCCCTCATTTCTTTGAGCGCGAACAGCGGGTGCCGCTGAAGCGGCCAAGACCGTGGAACAAAATCACTGACGTGTAGGCGCTATAATGTGTGCCTTCTGAGAATTATCTTCTTTGCTTATATTGTTGGAGAATGCACCTCAGGTCGTTAAGGAGGGATGAAAATGTTAGCAATGGGAAAATGAGAAAAGGCTTTCATGGTCGAGTTACAGCCGTGAAAATCAACACAAAATTGAGATTG